AATATATACGATTTAGATTAAAAGAGAATTTTCGTTAATAAAGCTAAGGAAATTGGAGTACTCAAGGCTGGCAAATTAAAAAAATATAAAAAAGAAAAAAATTTAACGCCTTAAATTTTTGTTACTTCATATATTCATTAATGTGTCACACAATAATAAAGATTATAAGTTTATAATGATTATAAGATAATAAAATTAATAAAACTTCTATTATCTATTATTGAAAAGAAGAGATCGTGCACTGAGTGTTTAGAGTGTTTCTCCAAGTCAGATTTCTTTAATGAAAGACAGTATAAAACTTAACTCTCCTAATCTTGGATACTTATGTTCCATGAAATACCCACCTAGGTTTTTCTTCCGCTTATGTATCAGTGCCGGGCTATCCTCAAGCACATGGTATGCAGTTGCTCTCTCTTCTCTACAGTATCTGCAGTTTGAGTTAGATTGAAATCCTAACTTCGATAGGTGATTATTTAATCTACAGTTACCGGTTAATAATAAAACTTAAGTAGTAGTTATTTTTATTGTATTTAAAATTTATTTAAGTATATTAATATGTACTTTTATAATGTTTGAGATTAATATATATATTTAATATAGAATATTTCACTTTAAAGTGAGTTTCGTTTAAAATGCTAATTAAAATAAATATTTAATTTTCTATGATAATATTAAACTTCTGTAACAATGTTATTTTGAAATTGAAAATAATGCTAGTATATTTTACTATTATAATTTTTGGTAAATATTTGTAGTGAATTCCTGTGGATTCCTTTCGAGTTATTAGTTATTTATTTCACTCATCAACAACAATTGTTACGTTGAATTGATAAAAACTTTTGCAAACTTCAAATTGTTAACAAAACAATTCCTACAAAAGCAATTAAATACAAAATGTTCATAAAATTCCACCTTTACCGTCTTTTAATTGCCCAATTTAAGGAAGTACAACTCCGAATTGCTTTGCCAACAATACAAGGAGTCGTTGAGACAAAACAGTTTTTAGCAAATAAAAGTTTGTTTATTCGCTAATTGTTGTTGTTGCTTAAGTCGAGCTACGTTGGATTGCTCCACTTTGAGCAGCTGCACTCTGATGTTTGGATCTAGGGACTCTTTAAGCTGCAATTCACTTCTCGCCATAATAAAGATTTTTTACTGCGTTCGCACGAAAAATTTGTTTTGCTAATTTTTTGTAAAATTTAAAAACTGTAGAGAATAATTAATAATTTTACAAACAAAATAGTATTAAAATTTAAAAATAAAAATATAATTAATTAATTCAATTATTCAAAGTAAAGCAAAGTAACAAAACTCCAGAAAAATGTGCGAACATAAAAGTCAAGTACAGCTTTGGATCAGTTGTTTAAGGAGCGCTGACTCTGAGCCGTAAATTTGGCAGGGCACGAGTTCGATTCCTGGTACTTGCAGTCTTAAAAAATTATGATGATGGGTATTTGACAATATTAGAAAGAGTTGTATTGTTAGCAAAAATTCGATTAATTAAAATAATGAATTTTAGTTTTTGTTCACTATTTTTCGAAAAATCTCTTTATTAATAATTTTATATAAGTAATTTTTTTTCACACTTTTGCTGATTTTGATTACTTTTAGTTTAATATTTAAATTTTATTAAACATTTTTAGTTAAATCTAATATCTACAGTCTTGATTTAATGAAAGCTTATCATTGAATTAAAATTATTTTGAATATTTAAACAAAATAATGTTCAATAAATTTAGTAGTAGCTTCAATATATTTTCGTATAAGCTTAGAAGACTTTATTTTAGAATAACACTATAGATCTTATTAGTCATAATATACCATAGTCTTTTTTAACAATAATAATACGATATTTTATTAATCAAAATTAAATAACATTTATTCCTCAAGCCCCCATATGTTTGATTTTGATATATATAATAAGACAACAGAGATTTTAATTAAGTTAAAGCTATGACTAAGCTGTAGTGGTTTTGGTTTTGAAATAATATTACAAGCAGTACTTTAATGTAAGATATTTTGTATTTCGAATTGAAATATTTATTCAAGCCCCCATTTGTTGCGCACCATACTTGTACCACAACTGACTTACTAAATGCTGTCACTAAGAGGTGTAGAAGTATTTGTTTAACTCTAAAAGATCTTTTTTAATTTACAGATTAGTGCAGATCAAGTCATCACCACGTACTCGGTGGTCCGCTTCACCGCTTTACAGACCTCTTGAATATCATCGGAAATGATTTCCAGTTTATTTGAATAATGGTTCAAACTACAATGTGGTGTTAGAATTCATATTATAATTCTCCATTATTTTTTTA